GGCGGGAATGGCGCGGAGTCGTGGTGCGCGCCCGGCGAGCTGGGGTCACGTGACCGGGGCGGCCACCCCCTGGACGCCTGCCCGACTGTTCTCAGGATGACCCCCACCCCGCGCCAGGGCCTCCCCACAACCCCTGCAGGATGCAAATCATGTGCCAGCAATGGAGCCGGATCGGAGCGGCTTTTACTGCCCCCTGAGACCCGGAGCTGCGGGCAGAAACTACAGTTCCCAGCATGCCAGGTACCGGCGGGGGTAATTCTCCCGGCCTTGACAGAACGGGAAGAATGCCGGGAACTCTGTGCGCGCGGCTTTCAGTGCGGCGCGCTCTGTGCGCCTGGGCGCGAAGCCCCGCCCCCAAGGCTGCCTCTGGGCGGGGAAATGGGAGGGGCTCTCCAGGAGATGGCACCTTGCGCCCTATTGGGAGGGAGGGGCGGGGCTTCCTGGGAGGTGCGTCTCGCTCCCAGTAGCCTAGAAAATTAGAAACCGATCGACGGTGTGTGCTACGCTTCCTTGCTTCTTTGGGGTCTCGTGGAATAGCAGCCACCCTCATTCGTTGTTCCCTTGCTCTGCTTTGGTTTTATAAATAGTAATTATTTCCATCTGACATGTAGATTTGCGATGTATGTGTTTATGTATGTGCTACCTGGCTTATTGCACTGGAATTAAGCTCAATGAGAGCAGGGACTTTTGTTAATTTACTGCTGAATTCCTTGCGTCAAAGCAGTTCTTGGGGGGCGCCTGGGTGGCTCAGTCGTTAAGCGTCTGCCTTCGGCTCAGGTCATGATCCCAGCGTCCTGGGATAGAGCCCCGCATCTGGCTCCCTGCTCTGCGGGAAGCCTGCTTCTCCCTCTCCCACTCCCCCTGCTTGTGTCCCCTCTCTCGCTGTCTCTTCTCTGTCAAATAAATAAATAAAATCTTAAAAAAAACCAACAACAGTTCTTGGCACGTTGTGAATACTCAGTAAATACTTGAACAAATCAGCGCTGCAGCGTTCTGTTTCTTCATCATCCTCCCAAACCCGGTTCTGCAACCTTCACACTGGCAATTCCTGCATTTCCATGTCCCCAACATCTCTCGTTCCATCACCACACATAATCTTCTCAGCCTTCAGGAAGCAGTCAAATTCTCATCTGCAGACTCTCCAATCTAGTATCTCCCCGTAGGGTCATCGGAGGACTGATTACAGGAAATTTGGATCAATGACACTAACAGAAAGTAGCTTCCTGGGGCAGTTGGGTTTCTTTGAGTATATGTGAAATAATCAGTTTCAGAATCTATGGCAGATATAAGCAGGTATGCAGTATTATAGTACAATTCAAATGATACTGAGGTAATTCAAAGGTTGGTAGAAATATAACCCTAAAGAGATTAAAGAAGACATTTTTCCAAAGCAAAGGGACCTAAATATCCCACCGTCCAGGGGTCATGAATTCAGAGGCCTTACAGTGGCCATGGCATTTGTTTTGTGAGTGGTAGGATGTGGCCTGTTGATAAACATAGGCCCATTTGAAGGCTTCAGACCAGTGTTGCCAAAGGTCCAGTTTTTCAAAGAAAACCAAAAGGCTGTGTTTTCCCCTCATTTTTGAATGTCAGTTTGCATTTTTAAATGCACTTTAGTGCATCAGTCACTTGAGAATTTCAGGCCTTCATGTTATAATATCTGATCCTAATCCAACCACTCATTCCAAGGGAAACAATAGCACATGCCTAAAATTTAGAATAGATTACTTCAACTCTAGTTCTTAAGGCAACAGAAGTGTATGTTTGCCAGTCTCCCTGACTGACTGCAAGAGAAACTTCTAGACTGCTGCTCTATTTCTATTATAATTTAGCAAGGCATTCTCTTTAAAGGTTACTTTACACCCTTCCACCACAAGACAGCCTGGTTCCTGCCTCCACACAGCTTCATGTCTGTCAGAGGAGACAGACAATAAAACAAGTTATCACCCAAAAAGTGTGGTGGTTGTCAAGAAAGGGGAAGGAAGCTCAAGACTCACAGCGGGGAGATCTTTATAACCTGCTGATTCTGAAGACCCCTAACATATGAGGATAAGATCACAAATGGAGGTCTACATATCACATACCTAAATATTGAGAAAGTATAGGGGCACCTGGGTGGCTAAGTCAGTTGAACATCCAACTCTTGACTCTGGATCTCAGGGTCGTGAGTTCAGGCCCTGTGTTGGGATCCACACTGGGTGTGGAGCCTACTTAAAAAATATAAATAAATAAATAAATAAATAAGTGTGTGTGTGTGTATATATATATATATACATATGTATATATATAGAAGGTATAAATTAAGCTTACAAAAATAAAATATATTCTAATATTTGACATTGACAAATGCACTTTCTTTACAACCTGGAAGTCTGGATTTGAATTTAAATTCCCTGACTCCTTGGACTTCTGCTTCAGAATGTGGTCATGCAAATAGGGCTGGAAGCCAACCCCCCACCAATTTTTGTTCCCCTTCTTTTGCATCTCCTGGCTCCATCCCACACTGGAATAGAACATATGTTTATACCCCTACCCGCAAGGTTCAAGTTCTGTCACTTACCCCCAAAGTTTTATTTACATCCCGCTACCCACCTCAAGGGATGCTCCTTGGCCATTACTCAGGCCAGGAGTGTGCAAAGTAGTCGCATTGTGTACCCCTACCAGGTCAGACCCAGAACAGAGGCTGGGGTTGCCCCTGGATGCAGGCTTGTCCATTTGAGCGGGGCATCCCAGGGCTCTGTTACCCAGAACTGGATCTAGAAGCACAAATTCCAGTGAGCATCACCCCTTGGCCCCATGAACTGGGTAGTACAAGGAGGGGTACAGAAGAGAGCCAGAGTGAGGTCCTCTAAAAGGCAGGGTCCAGAGCAGGGCCTTCTCTTGCCTGGGTCTAACCCAGTCATTTTTACTCTTTGCCATTATCCCCAGCAACTTAAACATCCACACTCTGGCCCCAGAATCTCTCCATATTCTTAACTCCACCAGGTTTCTACCACTTATGGCTCCCACCAGGAGCTATATCCAGTGACTCAAATTTGGTGTTTCCCAATTGTTAGCAACCATCTCTTTTCCCTCACCCTAATCTTCTCCCCTGCCCTAAAGCTTTTCCTGACAAGTCTTCTCTTAAGTGGATTTCTTTTCCAAACTTATTTTGAGTGTTTACCACATAGCGGGCATTGTTGTCATCAGACACAATAAGGGCAGTGGGGAGCAGAGCAGTGACAGGAAGGAAGAGCCCTCTGCCTCTGGGAGATCAGGCAAACTCTCCTTCTCCCTCTGACTCACCACCCACCTTCTCAGGGGACAGTCAGGTGGCAATACACAGAATGCAACACAAACACAGCAGAACCAAAAGGGAGCTAATGATTTTCCCTTCGAAGTCAGTTCCTTCTGCAAATACATCAACTCTGTGAATAGCACTGCCATTCTTCTAGGGATTCCACTCAAAGCTAAGAGCCATCTTTACTCCCTGCCTCTTTCTCAACTCCCACACCTGGTCACCATGTTAATACCCCATTCGATGCTCCTTGGGGCTGGCTCTTCTTCCCATGCCACCCACAAGTCTACCTTGACACTGCCTCCTACTGGTTCCCCTGCTTCCTCCATCTTCTCCGCAATATTCTGACTCACCTCCCCAGATCTACCTAATTCTCCCTGTATGCAGCACACTCCTTCCTCTCTATCGTTGTCTATCAAATCATTTCTAAACTCCTTAGTCTGGTGGTTCAGATTATGTGTCATCCAGCCACAGTGCAGTGCACTTTCCTTATCTCTGACTCCCCTGCAAATAGCTAATGCTTCAGCTAACATGTTCTACTCATCCTGTCCAAAATATGTCTTAACCTTTTGAGCCTTCATACCTTTGCTGTTTGATTTACTTAAAAAGCCCTGGCCCTCTCTCTACCTGTCAAAAGTGGTCCCTCTTTAAATACTCAGTCTATGAAGTCACCTTCTCCATGAAGCTTTCCCAGCATGATGCAGTGGAGAGACCTTCCAAACCTGAACAGGCAGACCCTAGGGCTGACTTCCTCCCAGAGCAAGCCCAGGTAAGTCACTCTATTTCGCCTGAACTGTCTTCTCATCTACAAATGAGAGTTCTGATCACAGGGTTTTTGTGAGAATCAAGTTCTAAAATGCACGTGGAAGTGCTTTGAAATTGCTACATTAATATTAGTTGTTACTGTCTTTCCAACCAGGCGTGATCTCTTCCTCCCTGAAACTCAGAAGAATTTACATACTGTTTTGTATTGCTGGAATTTGTGTAGTCTTCTCTCTCACAATCACCTGTAAACCCTTGAAATAGCTTGTACATATTTGTGCTCCCCAGCCTAGAATAATTGAATCTCATGCATGTTTTCTGAATGAATAAATGAATGAATGAGTGAATGAGTGAGTGAGTTAATGAATGAACTTCTTCCTTCTCTCATAATCATGTTTGACTATTTCTTTTTTTTTTTCTAAGATTTTATTCATTTGCGAGAGAGAGAATGAGAGACAGAGAGCATGAGAGGGAGGAGGGTCAGAGGGAGAAGCAGACTCCCTGCCGAGCAGGGAGCCCGATGTGGGACTTGATCCCGGGACTCGATCCCGGGACTCCAGGATCATGACCTGAGCCAAAGGCAGTCGCTTAACCAACTGAGCCACCCAGGTGCCCCCATGTTTGACTATTTCACTACTCTCTAAGAGCACTTAAAGCAAAGAGCCAATACAGAAAATTGAGGAAAATGACATTGAAATTCATCAACTCAACCACCTAGCTATGCTTCTAGAAACTCTGGTGGTAAGGAAACCTAAAATAATAATAAGAGTTTACATTTACTGAATACTTCTGCATGCCAGGCATTTACATAAATCATCTCTAATCCCCTGAGAACACTGCATGGTTGGAATGATCATCTCCTTCTCTTTCTGGGGCAGGTGGAGCCTGAGGCTCCGGTTCAAAAGTTAGTAGCAGCAGACAGAGCACTGTGGCAGTAAGGTGAGAAGTCAGAGTGGAAGAACTTGAGAACTCTCAGAAATAATTGGGGACACACGGAGAGGGGCTAGCGTCTGGCCAGTGAGCACTCATACATAATAATGTGGATAATACAAATAAAGTGGCTTCATTTTGTAGTAATGGGCGCATGGACCTAAGAGACATACATTACACTTCTAATATAATTCTCAAATAATCAGAATGTAGCAAAATAAACTTAATGTTAAAATTGTAGTGAGCATACTGTAGTTATAAAAAGCACGATTCAATAATTCCAAATATACTTAAGTACCTCTCCATATCTCAAGGTCATGATCCTGGACCTTAATTATAAGTTTAAAATATCCTAGCTACAGAACCAAATGATATCCTAGAGATGAGAACTGTCTCAGAAGTTTAGTGACTTGCCGATTCTTTAAATAACAAGCTGTGTGTCCTTGAACAGGTTATTTCACCTCTCTCAAGTCACAAGTTCCTTACCTGTAATAGAAGCAGGTTGGACTGAATGATCTCTAGGCTCCTCCTACAGGTGTAATTCTCTAAGTCTGTGGGATCATCTATCCAGCCTAGCAGCATTCCTTCTATTTCTCATTATTTTACAAATGAAAAATCCAAAGATGGTAAATAATCATAATTGGAGCTGAGCGTTCTGACTTTTTTCCACTGGTCTCCAGTCCCTCATAGGCCTTCTGATTTTCCAAAGGCTCCCACTGTGCTCAGCTTGCCACATCTGGCTCTCTCAAATGCTTTGGGCCACCCAGTCACCCCCAAGTCACAGTTTTCACTCTCAGTTATTCAACTCAGATAAGAAATAGTTCATTCACATTAAGGTGTGAATGACTTTATTAAACCATGTGAATCACAGTGGATGGAATGTCTGGTATAGTTAGCCTATTATTAACATCCATCAGCCCCTCCCCACACCAGAAAACAAAGAGCAGCCCCTGGGCATCCAACGGCAGCCGATCCCTGCTGGAAGTTATTCTGATGAAACGAGACTTGCTGGAAAGTGACTTCTTGGAGTGAATACCAGATTTGGAATCTGTTTCTGTGTTATCTCCTCCAGTAAACATGAGCACCTGGAGGAGATCTGTCTCACTCAACATTCTGTCCCCATCTCTAAGATGGTACCTGGCCCTTAATGGGGCTTCGATAAATGTTGGATGGATGAATAAACACATAAACTGGAGTAGAGAAAAAACATGAAACTCACCAACTGGAGGAGAAGCCGTAAAAATGTTTGGTGTCATAAAACTGAAGAGCCTATTTCTACTTGGCATAAGAAAAGTCACACTATAGTAAGGAGGGGGATTATGGTCTTTAAATAATAATAATAACCAGTAATAATAACAATCAATAATTATTCCAGGAACTATGCTAAACCCTTACTTGGATTACTTTCATTTAATCCTCACAACAATATTGTCAGATAGAAACTATTTTTGTCCTGTCTTATAGATGAAGAGTGTGAGGCCAAAAAATATTAATTAACGCCTGCATGGTCAGGAGGAGATAGGGTCCAGGCAATCTGACTCCAGTCAGATCTGTGATTTGTTTTTCTGAGGGTGGGCACACAGAGGGATGGGGCCAGGAATAGTTCCGCAACCTGGAGCCAGGGCATCTCCTGCAAGACCCTTGCCCCTGAGAGCCATGTTCCCCCTTCTGGCCTGCAACACATGGAGAAACTCCCTGGATCTAGTGCAAACAAAAGGGTTTCCACAGGACAGTAAAGCTGTAGTCAGTTGAAAGAAAAAGAAAAAAAGTCTAAGTAGATTAGTTACTAAGAAATAATGAATTAAACTCGTGCGAGAAAACTAGTCTTTACAGAAAAGAGACTTGACTGTCAAATTGGCAGAACTGGGAGACAACCTATCCCGATGAACCATAAATCCAGAGGTCAGACAAGAAAGGGGTTATCATCTAGAGTTCTATTAAGTAGGCATCTATGTTTTGTTTACATGTCACTGTTTGTTGGAGATGTAGTCTGTTTATGAATATTGAGCATTAAAGATGCTGGTTTGTAAATATTCAGCTCTAAAACCATTTATGAAAAACAAGATAACTGGAGGCAGGAGACACCTGAAAGTAGAAATCAAAAAAGTTTGGTTATGGGCGCCTGGATGGCTCAGTCAGTTAAGCGTCTGCCTTTGGCTCAGGTCATGATCCTAGAGTCCCTGGATTGAGTCCTACATCGGGCTCCCTGCTCAGTGGGGAATCTGCTTCTCCCTCTGACCCTCCCCTCTCTTGTGCTTTCTCTCTCAAATAAATTAAAAAAAATCTTTAATTAAAAAAAAAGTTTCATTAGTTTGATTGTAAACATACTCCTCTGTCCCTGCTACTTGAGGAATTTGTGATTCCTTAGATTGGAAAATGCCTAGAGATCTGAATCTTGCAGTAAGAGTACAGTTCCAGGAACATTTTTTTCCCTTTTTTCAAATTGCTATGCCCCTTATAATCAACATTGCCAATATGTTAATAATCACCCAGTAAAATGTACAGCAGAAATTTTCCAAAAGAAGTTTTTTGAAACTAAATTTTATGAGTCATTTAACTTTGAGGTCTACCTCCCTTTAAATACTGCAATTTGAATGACTTTGTTTTGGTCCACTCTACTCAGATAAAAAATTTTTAAATAATAATAATAAATGACTTTGATTTTGATAAAATGTTATTTTTTTTCCTCCAACTACTTGTTTACATTTGCTGTCTTTGATATCTAAATGTACTACACATGAGATCACAGTAGCTTGAATGTTTATAGGCCAGATAATGTGATGTCCTGTGCAACCACTACATGTGGCCATGAAATTTTAATTTTAATTAAAATTAAATAAAATTAAAAATTGATTTCCTCAGTTACACTAGCCTCACTTCAAATGCTCAGTAGCTTCCACATTGTGGCTTCCATATTGGACCATAGAAATATAGAACATGTTATCACAGAAAGTTCTACGGGACAGCACTGTGTTAGAAAGAACACAGATTTGGCAACAGATAGAGCTGTGTTCAATTCCCATATTTCACTAGAGTTCTGGGGTGCCTGGTTGGCTCAGTTGGTAGAGCAAGCAGCTCTCGATCTCCCGGTCATGAGTTCGAGCCCCATTTTGGTCTTAGAGATTACTTAAGGAAAAAAAAAATAACTGGTTTTCACTAGACTTGTGACCACAGTAAGTTTCTTAAACTTTCAAAGCTTCAGTTAGTTAAATTGTAGAGATACAAATACCTACACCATTAAAGTAAGCAGTACAATGCCCAGCACATTTTAATTACTTAATAAGACTACTATTATTAATGTTTAGGGATCAGAAATTCAAACTTTGGAGACTGAAATTAGACACCAATATTTTCTTCATACTATGAATACTCAAATCTTGCTGGCTACCCAAAAATATTAAATTGAATTAAAATCAAGAACATAATAACACACTTATTTTGTTTCTTTATCTAGGATATCAAACTTCTATAGGATAAAACCAACTTGAATATCCCTAGAGAAATCTTAGACTCAGGTAGCTATTTAAAGCTATATTGTGACCCAGAAGATTTCTGATTCCCAAGCCATCCTTGCAATTTAATTCACGCACATGTCCAGCAAATGTTTGTATTTATACAGGAAGTCTATTGGCTAACTAAGGCTGACTTGCAGAGCAATAAGGCAAAATGCATACCCCTCTCCCCACCATCCATTAGCTTGGAGATAAAACCCATGCAAGTTACACATCCCAGCACTTTTGAAAGTAATTCAACTTATCTAAGTGTCTCCCCAGCCCCACCCACTCTCCCCTCTTTCTGTCAATATGGAACCTTATGTAACAGCATCCAAAACTGAGAGAGAAAGCTGTGGATAATGTGCCCACAGAGCTTAATCCCTGCCACTCTCACAGAGGGACACATTGCAGTTAGGAATGCGGGCAGCCAGAGCCAAGATAATTCCAGACTCATAGAACAATTGTTCTATCAACCCCAAGTACGCAAAACAACCCAAACAAAAATAACCAGGAGAAGCTATGAGTAACCTACAACTCATCATGATACGAATTCCTAACATCACACTTACTTTGAAATTTGTTTTTCTAAGCTCCTCAAAAAAAAAAAAAAAAAAGGCAAGATTATACAATGAGATGATAAAAAGATAGAGGACAATACTCTGCCCTCACTATTCAAAGCTGGATTGCAAAATATATACTAGTTATGAAAAAACCTTTGTTTTGTTCCCTTTTTAGACTTTTAATTGAACTTAGGTTTTCTTTCATACCAAAGTAGTACAAAAAAAGGGAGGTGTCTCTCTTGGAAGACTACATGCAGTCCAGTAACTGATGGGAAGCCAGTGAAAATACATAGCAAAATGCTGTCAGAGTGTGTTCTGACCCATAATATGAGTAGATACAATTCCAGTTACTCACTGCCAAGAGATAAATCTAAACCAAGCCAACACCTGCCATCTAAAATGGTCATAATTCTGAAAAAATGTCTACAAATGATTCTTTGTTTACTGTAGGCATGAGAATAATAATGAACACTGATTGAGCACTTAACATGTTCTAAGCACTGTTCTAAGTGATTTGCATGTATTACTAACAACAACCTTTTAAGGTAGGTAGATAATGTCATTTCCCATTTTACAGAGGAGTACACTGAGACATTGAGTGGTTAAATGACTTGCCCAAGGTCACCACCTAATCAGCGTGAGAGCCAGGATCTAAGCTCAAGCAATCTGGATTCATTTTACACTCTTGTCTCTGTGGGCAGTTGGAACGATGATGAACTTAAACACAAACCTATGACCATTCACCAGGACCAATATCTTAAAAGCTGTGTTTGTTTACAGGGCCATTATCTTATAGCTGTGTTTGTTTGCAGAAAGCAATTAAAAGGAAGAACCCCACACATGTGACTGGAGCCTGTTACCATCAACAAACCCACTTCTCCTTGGTTTTCAAAATCCCCCGTAAGAAGTGTCTCAGCTGGCAATAATTTTGAAAAGTCAAGAGACGAATTCTGGTGACATTCTTTTAGCTCTACATCAAACTGCACCTGAGGTTGGGACAGTCCATGAATTTTTCTCTCTCTTTTTTTAGTTATATGAATGAGTAAATTTCCCTCTTAAAAAACTGTTTGAGTTTCAACAGAAGGACCCATAACCAATGTACCTCTTCTCCAATCACCACCATCCCCACTTAACCAAAGGGATTTTCTCAGGGGTATGACCTCAGCCAGTCTATTCAGAGTGGATCTCAAAACTTTTGTAGCATGACCATAAAAGAAGTTCTTTCTACTGGACTTGACATTGGGAAAACATGAACCAGGAGGTGCTGTCCCCAAGGTTGCTGGAATCCACCATACAGAGTCCAGGGAACCCACTCAGCCAAGGGAAGGTAGAGCCAAGAGATGCAGAGAAACTGAACCCTGTGACAGCATTTCAGTCCTGAATCCTTTTCAGTACCTTAAACCAATAAATTCCACTTTTTGGTTAAGTTCTATCATTCGTGATTGAAAGAGTTCTAAACCACCCCTTTAAAATTTCCCAATTCATCTTCTCCTCTCATCCGACCTTGCCTTGGTTCAGGTTGACATCCCTTCTTTACAGGAAGCCCCTGTTATCCATTTTTGTCTTACAAAGACCCTAAAATGGAGTAGCTTAAAACAACAATGACTTATTATTTCTCCTGATCCTGTGCGTTGGCAGTGGGCGACTGCCCAGATTTATTAGTCAGCTTTACCACAGTAACAAATGACTCCCTGAGTTGGCTTGTAACAACCAACGTTCCTCACTCTGCCATTGCATGTTCCCCATCACACCAGAGAAGGCTCTGCTTCTGCTCTCCATGTATTTTCACATTCTGGGACCAAGACTGCAGAAGTAACTCCTATCTGAGATGCCTGTCCTGTGGCAGAAAGGAAGAGAGCAAGACAGTAGGTGGAAATAAACACAATGGCCCATCCTGTCACACCCCACTGATCAAAGCAAGACCCTGGCTTTGAGGGCTCCCCATTAGCTGTCAGGGTAAATTAGGTTGGCACTCAAGGTCCTTTAAGAGAGGTTAAATAAGATAAGGAGGTACATGTACACACATGAACAGAGAAAGGAGATTTTATATGTATAGGTGCATACACACATATAGTATGTATACTACTTCTGAGACGCACACACACATATGTATACAGATAGAATGTTTGTAACTCTGGACTTCCACATGGAAGGTTGAATGTTAGTCTCAATCTGAGATCTGGGACCAGTCCTTTTCTAATCAGGGAAAATTCGGGAAGGCCCACCCAAACAAGTCAGGCTTCTGTTGAGCCTGTTAGGATTGTAGGCCTTTGTTCTAGTAACTGGGATCTAGCTTTTTTCCTTTTCTTAATTGTAGTAAGAAACACATAACATAAAATTTCCCATCTGAGCCATTTTTAAGTCTACAGGACAGTAGCGTTACACGAACATTGTTGTACAACAGATCTCCCGAACTTCTCCATCTTGTATAACTGAAACTCTATACCCATGGAACAACAACCTCCCGTTTCCCTATCCCTCCAGCCCCTGGATCCAGACCTTTGCTCCATCTGCAGGATCACAGAAGCTCTGCTGGACTTTCCTGGCACCAACGGCGTGGCTCCATGCTGTCTTCATACAGCCTTCATCACAGAGCTTCTTCTCAAAGTCTACTACTGGGTCTGCCCCCAGGTACAGCCCTACCCATGAGCCTCTAATTTCCACCTCCTTGCTGGCTACCAGTCAGGAGCTGAGATAATAATACTGTTAATATAAAATAATATAATGCTAATGTAAAATAATAATAGCATTTATCCTTTATGGCATATGTCCTATATTATTCTAGGCATCATTCTAGATGCCTGACAGATATGATCGCTAATCCTTACATAACCTAGAAGTACTGCCATTCCCAGGTGTGTCTCTGTTTTCGTCAGGTACCATTCTTGATGTAGATCTCAACTTTTGTTCAAATCCTCCAGAACAATCCACCAGCACCAAAAGTATTTGTAAGAAACTGTGGAAATTACTGAAGCCTTCCCAGAGTGGGGCAGAGGTTTACACTGCACATCCAATAAAAGTTAAAATACTCAACAGAAGTGACTTTTCTCTGTGCTATCATCAAGCCTCCTCCTACCTCCAAGGTTTAGCCTCTTCAATTTTATGCTGAGTGTATAATAAGGAAACAGGTAACAGAATATGTAACTAAATATGACTTAAACAGTAGGTTTATTATCTCTGGAGATATCATTTTCAGGCTTGGTTAATTCAGAGGCACAATGATGTCATCATGCACTCAACTCAGGTGCTTTCTGCCTTTCCCTCTTTGCCATCCACAGCCTTTAGGTTTTCATCCTCAGAGATGTCCCTCGTGGTTACAAGATGGCTGCCATAGCTCTAGGAATTATATCTGCAGGTAACTACATCTAAAGATAGGAAGAGGAGCATTTCTCCTCGCCCACCCAACTCCCCCCCCACCACACACACACACGCATCAGAAAGGAAAATGTTTTCCAGAAATATTTCAGAAGATTTACCTTTAAATTCACACTTGTGCCTTAGGGCGCCTTGGTGGCTCAGTCTCTAAGCGTCTGCCTTTGGCTCAGGTCATGATCCTGGGGTCTTAGGATCGAGCCCCACGTCGGGCTCCCTGCTCAGTGGGGAGTCTGCTTCTCCCTCTCCCACTCTTCCTGCTTGTGTTCCCTCTCCTGCTGTGTCTCTGTCAAATAAATAAAGTCTTTAAAAAAAAGACATTCATACTTGTGCCTTAATAATACAAGCCAATATTGGCATCTTTATTCTCGAGATTTGGAAAGCAGGTTGTGACAGCAAGGATGAAGGGTGGGGAGAGAAGGGTTGTTGACAAGGAGCCACCAGTCTCAGCCATATAGAGCAGCTTGGCATCTTGCTCACTTCTGTGCTCTGCAAAGAAAGCTGCCTGATTCTTTTTTTTTTTTTAAGATTTTATTTATTTATTTGAGCAAGAGAGAGAGAGAGCACAAGCAGGGGGAGCGGCAGAAAAGGGAGAAGCAGGCTCCCCACTGAGCAAGGAGCCCGATGTGGGGCTCTATCCCAGGACTCCGGGATCATGACCTGAGCCCAAGGCAGATGCTTAACTGACTGAGCCACCCAGGTGCCCCAAAAGCTGCCTGCTTCTTAACAGGCCATGCTCTCTGCAAGTCTAGTTCACAGCCATCTAGTACTGCTCAGAGAGGCTTCTTAGAGCCCAACCCCTGCCCCTAACCCTAGTGGGATTATCAAAGCACAGGTTATGAAAACTCTTCCCTCAGAGGCCGACTCGGAATTTCTTTACCGCCATCTCCATACACACGGCAATTCTGCAGACTGAGGGCTATTACCTCATTTTACAGATGTGGAAACTGAGCAGAGAGTTTAAGTGACTCACCCAAAGTCAAACAGCTATCAAATTGTAGATCAGAGTTTGAACCCAGGGTTGTCTGGCTCCAATGTCCTTGCTGCCAATGAAAGCAGAACAAAGCACCAAAGAAGACCAGAGGGGCTGCAATTGACCAGAAGGGTAGTACGTTCTGGGCCCGGCAGTAATTGAAAATCATCACAAGGTTCTAAGGAGGAATGTAATTTCGGTTCTCGGCTATCTCTAAAAGATAAAATAGAGCAGTGCTTTTAGCCCTTGGCTGAGTATACGGAGGCATTTTAAAGCGTCTGAATGAATGAACACAAGCCGTGCTTCCGAGTTCCTGACACCCAACCCTTTAAGTGGGGCCCGAGGAGATCTTCATTCAACAACAAGCATTTATTCAGGACCTGGCCCTTGCCCTGAGAAAGGAGGTAAACACATATTTTTGGCTCTGTGTGGTTAAGTGCAGTTATGGAAGTGTGCACAGAGGCTGTGGGGGAGCCAGGGGGGCGAGGGGCGGGGAGGATGGATGTTAGAAAGCCCGAGATCCTCATCCCCCTGACTGAGGTCATCCTGTGTTTCAGGAAAGTGCAGTCACTCGTGTTCAAAATAAGGACCCTGAGTCATAAGAAAAGACCTAAACCGGATTAGGTATATACACCGTTACCCAAGGTGGGGCTGAGAAATGTTTTGGAAAGATTTCCTTTCAAAATGGTTTACCAGAAAACATTTTAGCAATCCTGAATATCAATTTCAGGGTTTTGTTTGTTCTGAAGGTTGGTTTATGGAGCACTTCACATGGCTTATGTATGTTACTTCATGAATGTAGTTGGTAATTTGCATACATTATCTTGTTTAAAGCTTACAGTAATCCTGTAAGGGACATAGTCCTATTTTCCCACTTAAAAATTCAAAATAATTATTCAAAAATAATTTTTTACCCTCCCCCCACTCTTTTAGGTGCAGAAACTAAGGATAAGAGAGGTTAAGCAACTTGTCCAAGGGCTCTCAGTTCCTCACTGGCAGAGCTCGATTCACACCCTCCCTGCCACAAGGCCAAAGTGCCTTCTAGAAACTTAACTCCCAGAGAACACATCTCATAGGAGAGGTAGTTACAGGTTGGTACACTGGATCCACATAGAGAGTAGGTGTCCTGTAGAAAATCAGCAAAAGTAGTGATGAAGGTTGAATGATCCATCAGTAGGAAGGAGAATCATTTTTTTTAAATGGATATTATACAGTGCTCTATTCTCACATACATTTCTGTAACAAAGCATTTATTAAGGAATTCAGCTTTAAGGAGAACAATTTTGCCACTTCGATCATCTGTTCAGACTGTATTTTCTATAACTTGGGCAAATCTACAAATACGCTCCAAAATGGAAATGGTTGAACAACATTGAATCTAGACCCTTGCTGCTCAAAGAGTTGTCCATCCCCTTATTGTTTTTCAGAAATGCAGATTCTTGGGCCTTTCCCCCAGCCCCTCCCCATCCACCAGGATCCCCCAGGTGGTTTGGTGCACTGAAAATTTGAGGAGGGTGCTGCTCCCAATAGATACCTTTCCCCAGCATTCTCCCGCCCATCTTGGATAATGTTCTATAAGTCCATGAAAATCAAACAGAAGTAGGTCATGTTGTGGGTTCTAGAAGACAAACTTTATATCAAGGCAGCATTTGCTATCTTCTAACTGGATGTGTTTTTACTTTAATTTAATCTAAGAACTCCTTTTGAATAGATTCTTGGAGAGATCTCTGGTTGTGCAACAGAAGGGGAAAAATAATGGGGAAAAGGAAATGATTGGGGAGGACAGTGAGGGTGCCTGCTGTGGTTTCCCAATGGCACAGACTGATCATGCAAGACCCTTGATGTCTTGTCAAGTTTCTACTCGGGTCAGGTGCAAAGCCCATTACCTGAGGTGCCCGCTGGGTGGTCTGGATTGAGAACAATGGCCCCTCCCATCCGGAACACTTTGCTATTTTGCAAATGTTTCAATGGCTCTGCTTGAAAGCAGTGAAACAACAGCTGGTGAATAATCTCATTTTATATTAATAGAGCAGCGTTGCCCCATCCAGGTCCCTCAGTACTGTACAAAACAGAACATCCCTTCTTCCCCAGGGCAAGGAAGGGAAGTCTCAACCCGTGTTGTATTAGAGCACAAGTAGGGGCAGAAGGGGTCCTTTCCTCACAGACAGAACTCATTCCATCCTTCAGATGAAAATTAAGTTAGGGCAAGGAGGGTGGGAGAAAATACCTGCATTAAATCACCAGACTTTACCTAGGCTAAGAAATAGCCACAAAGTCAGAAGTGTCTTGCCCCAACCCTGCCTCAGTTTTCTTTATGTGACGCTGTGTGTGCAGAAGCAAGGTAGAGATGTGGAAGTTAGGTGACAACCCTGAAAGATAAATCTGGGCTATTTTTAATACCGGGGCTAGCTGGTGGCTTAATGTTAGCAGAGTCAAGTAAAACAGAATGTGACAACACACCAGTTAATCAGCACTCTTGCCTGAGCCAGCCACATTTTCAACACTGTAGAGAATTGCAAAGGGATAAAGTATAATCTGTGATTTCAAGGACTTCACTTGGCTGGAGGATTTATTCAAGAGAAATGACTAGAGGCAGGGTTGTAAGATATAAACAGTAAAGATATATACCTTAGCCCATTATATACTATCAGGGACACATACAGGGTGGGAAAGCTAAAATGCTTTGATTAAGCAACATTTCTGGAGATTTTGTCAAAACCTTCTTTTTTTCCAGGAGAAAAAGGAATGCTTTTTTTAAACATTATTTAACATTTACTAAAACCGAATTGGGAATTCCCGCCCCAATTCTTTCAGTGTGGAATAGATGGAAGTTGCTAGAAGGGAGTTGTTAGGCAGATTTCCTACATGTCACCAAAATAAGTAAGCTATTCTAGGGCCAGGCACAGAAACTGGGTGAGTGCAGAACCTGACTAACAAGAACGAAGGAGGCTGGTGGAAATTTCTTAGATGTAGTTCCTAATCTCTACCTTTTGTTTGGTCAGGATTCCTGTGATGGTTAATTTTATTCATCAACCTGGCTCGGCCATGGTGCCCAGATATATGCTCAAATGTTATTCTGGATATTTCTGTGAGGGTGTTTTTGAGTGAGATTAACATTTAAATAAGTGGACTTTGAGTAAAACAGATTGCCCTCCATAATGCAGGTGAGCCTCATCCAATCAGTTGAAGGTCTGAATAGAACAAAAGACTGACCTCTTCCAAGCACGAGGGAATTTTCCAGCCCAAGAGCCTTTGGACTTGAACTACAGCATTGGCTCTTCTTAGGTCTCCAGACAGCCAGCTCACCTTGCAGATTTTGGACCTGTGTAAGCCATTTCCTTAAAATCTGTGTGTGTGTGTGTGTGTGTGTGTGTACACACACATCCTATTGGTTCCGTTTCTCTGGAGAGCACTAAGTAGTGCAGACACCTTTGTGAGTTTTTATTTATTTATTTAAAAGATTTTATTTATTTATTTGACAGAGACACAGTGAGAGAGGGAACACAAGCAGGGGGAGTGGGAGAGGGAGAAGCAGGCTTCCCGCTGAGCAGGGAGCCTGATGTGGGGCTC